CAATCGAACGAAAGAGAATCCTAAATACTAATACTAATGTAATAATCGAATGAAAAAGAATTCTAAACGCGTGCGAATTACTGACGTAGCAATCGAATGTCAAAGAATCCAAAAGTGCGCGAGATACTACCGTAATCACCGAATGAAAAAGAATCCGAAACATGCGCAAGATACTACCGTAATAGTCGATTGAAAAAGAATCCTAAACTTGGGCGAGATACTAATGTAACAATCGAATGTAAGAGAATCCTAAAAGCGCGCGAGATGCTACCGTACTAAAAGAATTAAAAAGAATCCTAAAAGTGCGCTAGATACAAATGTAACAATCCAATGTAAGAGAATGCAAAAGTGCGCGAGATACTAAAGTAACAATCCAATGTAAGAGAATCCAAAAGTGCGCGACCTACCAATGTAACAATCCCATGTAAGAGAATTCTAGACGCGCGCGAGATGCTACCCTAATAATCGAATGAAGAAGAATCCTAGACGTGCTTGATATACTAATGTAACAATCCAATGTAAGAGAATCCTAAAAGCACGCGAGATGACGGTTACCGTAATAACCGAATGAAAAAGGATCCTAAACGTGCGCGAGATACTAATGCAACAATCAAATGTAAGATAATCCTACAAGCGCGAGAGATACTACCGTAATAATCGAATGAAAAGGAATCCTAAACGTGCGCGAGACATGAACATAATAATCGAATGAAAGAAAAGCCAAAAAGTGCGCGAGATACTAACGTTCCAATCGAAGGAAAGTGAATCCTGAGTACCAATACTAGTATAATAATGAAATGAAAGAGAATCTAAAAGTGCGCGGGATGCAAACAAAACGATCCAATGAGAGGGAATCTTTTAAATGCGCGAGATTCTAACGTCACAGTCGGATGAAAGAGAATCTTAAAAGCGTGCGAGATACTACCGTAGTAATCAAATTAAAGAGAGTCCTAAATGTGCGCGAGATACTGAAGTAACAATCCATTGAAAGAGAATCCTAAACGTGTGCGAGACACTAATGTTCCAATAGAATGAAAGAAAATCTTTAAAGCGCGCAAGATACCAACGTCGTCTGCGTGAGGTTCTAATGTAACAATCCATTAAAAAGAGAATCCCAAAAGCGGACGAGATACTTATGTAACAATTGCATGAAAGAGAATTCTTAAGGCGCGAGATACAAGTGTAACAATCCAATGAAATTGAATCTTTAAAGTGCGCGAGATGCTTACGTCACATTCGGTACGCAAGATACTAATTTAACCATCGAATGTAAGAGAATCCTACACGTGCGCGAGATACTAATGTAATAATCAAATGGAAGACAATCCTAAAAGTGTGCGAGATAAATACGTTGACAATTCAACGAAATAGAATCTTAAGAGTGCGCGAGATACCAGGAGATTATGAGAAGGAGCCATTCTGCGAGATTTTGACAGCTATTGTAGTCATTAAACCATTTGCCATTTCGATTTGAGCCCGTTATTGGCATAACAGCTGACCTCATTCAAACGGAAGAAACTATCATCGACCATTTTATCGAATTTGAGCACGTCCAAAGTACATGACAGTTGACCATAGTCAATTATAGCGCATGGTAGTTCATGTTCAAACGCGCATGATAGTCAGTTGAAACTAGCATCAACTATCATGAACTTTTGAACGGAGCTTAAAGTAACAATTGAATGAAAGAGAATCCTAAAGGCGCGCGAGATACTAATGTAATAATCAAATGAAAGAGAAACCTTTGTGAATTATAGTATATAAATAAATAAATAGTAACGTAAACTCCATTATTCATTTTAAAAGACAGAAAAATTTGATATCAATTTCAGCTCATAGAAATGTATCTTACTGAAAAACGTCAACCGTTGAAGGCCCTGAAATTTAACCATCATCTGTCAAATGCCTTAAAAAATTAACCGTCAACCGTCAAAATCCAAAAAAATAGACCGTCGACCGTCAAAGCTACCCCTTTCACCGTCCCCTATTAATACCCTCTTCAAAAGGTTATGATCACTGATTTGGTCAGGATAAGGGTGTTTTAGCCTACACCTTCAGCCGTTGAGACTACTACGTGAGATTAAAAACATCTAACGATACAGAGCCCATCTTGTCGGATTTTGTCCCAGTTGATGGGCAATTCTCAATTTAAGCTGTTATATGTTTTCTTGCACATTCATTGCGAGAAATTGGTGTTGTATCAAGAAAACAACTTGCAGCTGTTAGACTTGTCTACTAAAATCACTTTCTTTCTTAAAAGATGATTGTATAAAAATTGAGTAGAGAAGCTGCATTTAAATAATTTCTGCGCGATTAAGAGTCGATAGTATGTCACTGAAAAACCTTAAGAGCTTGAACAGTATTACTCACCCCCCTGCAAACACAGTGCTGTAACCTTTGTCTTGTTCCTGTAATGCTTAGCAAATACCTAGAAACAGAAGGAAAATAATTGATTTAACAAATGATGTTATGACAATATCTACTCAGTGTGTTTGATAGAATCTATATTGTAAACTTCCATGAGCAAATCTTTTAAGCAGACAACAACTTCTGTCCTAGATTCTAACATATATGTATAAACTCACCATTCTTTCAGAAAAATTAGCAAAATCCAGAGTACTCGAGCTCCAATTTACAAATATTAGTCCTGGAGAATGGTAAATTTACCCTAAAACCTTGCTTGATTTTCAAACTTTAACCAGAAAAGTTTATATATTACCATTGGCTATGTTATCTGTAACAAACAAACCTTCGCTGGATCAAAAAAGTCTTTTCTTTCTTGACTAACCTCAGTCAAAAGCTACATCGGGTTCAAATACCGCCTTCTTATTCAAATTAGTCATACACGCGGTAGCCATATTTAATTCATACTAAGTAAGACGGACCAAATGTCCTACGAAGTATATCATTTTACAACTACTTGAAAGCATAATTCAAACATGTCACAGAATTAGAACAGAATTAGTCACTAAATACCTGTTGAGAAGGGCCATAACGAGTTTATCTGTCCACTTCTTGGACGTTGAAAATCCACTCGTTTTCGGCCAGGAAATGAAAGCGATGTTCACTTTAACCAAAGGAAACACCAAATCTTGTCCTCCAGCGTACCACTCAACATCTATTACGAATATATCAGTGATGCACTACATCGATATCTCCATTGTATATTTGGCGAAGTTTTTATCAATATACAACTGCTTTAAAACGACATTCGGTCATCTTGTCGTTTGAATATCACTTCAAACCCCCGTGAGGTGAAGAAAAATTAAGAATAAATTAATATTAATGTTATATATGAAATTTAAATGAAGACCGAATGTACTTGGTATGTTTCAGAATGAGAGAAGAGATGGTAGATTTTTTTTTCAATTAGCCATGAGTGAGTAAATACCTTTATTTTAGTTTCCAGTGCAAAGTCTCGAACAAATATTGGACCATGATTTGACAAGATAACTTGGTTTGAACAACTTGGTTATAGCAACTGAGTCGATAATGTAAATTGGCCACCGTAAAGAGCAAGGCCAACCTCTCTCCGCCTTATTAGAGAGTTTCTAGACCTGTTTCCAGCGATAGTAAAGGGAAGGTACCCATGCGGCTCTTAAAGGAAGACCCCTTCTATAATCTGTGCCCTGACCCTCCGCAGAGAGGGTTCGAACAGGGATGTCATTCCCGCGGAAGAGGCATGCTTTTCCGAGCTGCAGGAGCTGATCAACTTCATGAGGGAGTCACTGAGATCGAAGTTGACTGGACACATTATCGATAAAGCAATTGAAAGGTACCGGAAGATGGAAATAATGACAATCAAATGGAAAATATATCGCTAAATTAAAAGAGAGCATTTTTTTTGTCGCGTCCAATCTTCAATTAATCGCCGCCCTCGGACGAGCGCCGCGGTTGAAACGCGAAAAATTAAAGAAGCGCCGCGGCCCTTAATCGATTAAAGGCGAAGGCTGTACTTTAATCCGGTATACAGACACTTCGGACCTACTTTTTCATTTTCACCAGATTTACTAAAAGTAAAAAGTAATTTCAATTCACTTCAGACCCTGGTTGGTTACCAATTTTGTTTAATTTACATCGTAATGGGCTCTGTGACAACCTTGGCTGGCTTTTGTTGAGACTCAATCGAAAATTGCTTCACATCATTTGAAGACCAGCTGCTACTTTCAACGATTCAGGAGTTTTTTACTCTTGCTCACAATTGCTAGCCTGAATGTTTCTTGTTTCCTATTTATTGTCCTATCCGAGGACTATAACTGGCCTTGCCACCCAACGGCCTCTATACTGTCTTTCTCAAACAGATTACCGACAGTGTTTGTGAGCTGGACGTGTGTCCGTGGGAATGACCACTTTTTGTTTCAGTCTCTTAATACAATTTGCGTAATTATTGAGAAAAATTGTCCTAGCCCGAACTAGTATCTACCGCATAACCACTTAGGACACCTCGATATCATTTCCTGGTCTCCCTTTCACCATACAATGATAAACCGTCAAAGTAAACGAAAGGGTAAAAGTAATTCCAGAGAGTTCGGGTCAACGTTAACGCCATAACTCCCAAGAGTGACCAAGACAGAATTTCTTCTTATAAAGTCAGGTCAATATCAAGCAGACAAGCGATGAGGAGAGAGAAGATGTAAATTAGGGGATTATCAGTTGAATACGAAATTCTCCAAACTAACACTATTAGAGTTGTATGGCAAACAATTGAGAGAATAACTAATAACACCTTGGGAGTGAAAGGGGTTAAGGCATGGACATCAAATTTAAATCTCATTTCAGAATTATGATTTTACAGAGGATTACGTTGAAAAGGCTCCTTGGTATTATCTCCAATAATAAAACATTCGTGGGATTGGCTCCCAGCGATGCAAAAAGAGAGGACAGTAAACCCTTTGGCCCCTTAGACTGACCAGCACCTCACGAAATGTATAGAGAACAGTATGGATAATTTGCATACTGGTGTGTGGGTGTAAAAGGCCAACCAATAGGTAACACTCAGCATCGTTTCATAACGTTATATTAAAATATTCACTATTCTATTTACATCAATCTGTCACGACATATTAACACCGGGACAAGCAGTTGACGAATAAAAATAGAATCTTGGGATCAACAGTGTTGAACACTGCAAGTATAGATAAGATTAGAAACTAATTCATCACAAAACCTTGCAGTTTTAAAATTCTTTGGTTCAATCGTCGTTTTATCTTTAGTCAATGAGGTCAGCGGAATTCAGCTCTGGGATGGTACAGAACCCGTATTAGATCTCATGCCTCCTTCAGATTGTTGGTATTCAGCCGGCGTGGGAACGTTATGTTCACTGTTTTCGTCAGCAAGGTTAAGAAGTTCCGGCTCGTCCTTATTTGATTCGAGCTCGAGGAATGTGTCGCCATTTTGGTCGCCATCTTGGTCGCCATTTTCCTCCTGGGGAGCCGAGGGCAAGGTGCTTTCAACTCCTCGATCATCCGAAGATTCGATCTTCGACGGTGAAGTGACACCAGGTGTGGTGGCAGCTTCGTCGACCGATTGAATCCTCTTCTCGATTTGAAAATCTCTTTCGTTTTCTATATCATTGTCTTCCTCCCACACCTCACTGTGGTCTGTCCCGCTTCGAGACTCCTCTTCGTCTTCAGAATTCTCGGACAACTCGTCCCATGTATCCAAGTTTACGTCCACGCTGTTCTCAGATGATGTACTGTTTAAGTCCAAAGGTAAAAAGGAGCGCCTCATGACAAGATCACCAGGGGTTGGTGCTCGGGACATTCTCTCTCGTGCATGATAACCGGCTAATATTGGATCCCATCCTCGCGAGGAATCGCTAGTCGCTCGTGACGCCGCTCGTGAATCTTGTTTCGTGGCGCGTGACGTTACACGCGTGGAAGGTCCCTTTACATTGTCAGTGGTGAACAAACGTTTGTAGTCGCTTGTGTATTCAGTTGCGCGGTCTTCTTGTAAAATGTGCGCGACAATGGCGTCTTTGCGGCATAATCGCCTGACCTCTTGTCTGATGGCTTCCACCATTTCGAGGTCTCCAGTTGGTTCTACACCCAATGATTCTAATGTGATGATCGCCTCTCTGAAAATAAGGAAGATAAGAGGAATTACCGGAAGTTTTCTCCAAATGGAAGAATGGCATAAAAACCCCAATCGTAGACCAAACTGTTGCGTACATAGGCTAGAATTTCGCCAGTAGCACTGACCTATTCCTTAGCAGTCTTATCACAAGTACATAAACAAATAAAATAAAAAACCAAACAAACAAGTAAAACCGTTGCTAATCATAACGCATTTCATAATAAGTGCGAAGCAAAAGTTTTACATCTGTTAAAGAGTGCAATATACCAGCTTTACTGTAAAAAAAAAAAAAAAAAAAAAACATTTTAAGGACAGAATAATTGAATCTTAAAGTAGAATCTCAAGAAACCAGAACAGATCTAAGCAATATGAAGCATCTAGATAAGTTATAATTTCCTTTTTGATTTTATGCGTGGCATCTCTTAATTTTGGCCTTGACTCTAAATTTACTCTTAGGAACAGAAGCAGTAAAAAAAACTGCTAAAATCAAAATCAAAGCAATTCCGGATTACTTTCGACGCTCATTTGAAAATTGCTCTAAAATCTAACGAAGTTCACAAAGATTTCTTGCCTCTTTACAATTTCTTCAGTCTCAACAACAAGGCGATCTTGAAGGACGCTAAGTAACCGCTGATCTCTTAAGCCCAGTACTGCGACAGCGTTACAGGCCTCGGCGCGTACAGCGGCAACCTTTTCATAACGAATGGCCCACAAGAGAACCTCGATGAGCTTTTCATCGACCACTCCAATAGACCCCAACGCTAACAAAAAAAGAAAGGCAGGGGCAAAGCTGTGAGTTCAGATTGTCTAACACTTTCTAAGATAAACACTTAGTACTTCCACCCTCAAGATGTCATCACTAATTCTTCTTGCTGTCTCTCCTGGTAATGGATGAACTGAAAATCACCGCTTTACAGATTACTGAACCTTAAAAAAAAAAAAAGGATCTGAAGACCGATATTAACCCTTTTACTTCCAAGATCTCATTCGTACTTCTCCTGACTGTCTGCCACACAATTCTTTTGATGTTGGTTGAAAAATTTGGTTGTGGGTCAACTAATAATCCCCTTATTGATATTTTTCTTTATTCTCATCGCTTGTCTCCTTGATATTGTAAGGAGAAATTCTGTCTTGGTCACTCATGGGAGTTCAAGTATGTTCAATTAAGTATGTTGAAATCATAAATGATCAATGCACCTGCTGAGCAAAACAAGGCCAAACATAAAAGAGAGGGAAAGAAGAGTGCAAAGATTTAGACTTACGGAAAACCTTTCTCGGCTGATATTCCTATCCCTCCCCTTATTCCTAAAAAATAAGCTACACTAGTTTGTGAACCACTTAACACTCATTTTTTGAGTACTTCAGTTCCAGATCTGGGATGAAAGAACCCGATCTCTTACCTTTAATTGTATGTGCTTTGACTTTCCAGCTATTGTCCTCACTCGCCAAACGAAGCAGTGAACTTAGTACACCCTTATCTGTGATCTTTAGCTTACCGGCGGCCTTAAAAGAAAAAGAAAAGTTGGTCATCCAGAGATACATACAACTTTACAATCTCAAAGAAACTTGAGTACCAAGAAACTCTTAAGAATGCAAGTGTCCATGCACTGTGAAAGGTAAAGTGTTCGTGCTCAGGATAATCGAAACTGAGTTATATCAGAATAAACTCAAACATCAAAACGAACCAAGAAAAATTACATGTGACTATTACTTTTTAGAGGAACACCACACTTATCACTCTTTGTTAAGTTCTCTGCTTTTTTTGTGACCATCAAGGAGAATAAAACGAAGCTACCCTAACCAGGTATTTCGTTACAATCTGCAGCCAAAGAAACAACCGGCTAATTGTGCTGGCTATCAATTCAGGGAAGAAATCAACGAGAAAACTTTGGGTAAACGGACAATTTTTTTCTGCTACTATAAATTTAACTGGATTAAATCCACGGGATGGCTCATCTTCCACTGATCCTCTTATTCATTCTCAGGTGAAGTAGTTTTCATAGAACTGACATTATCAATATGAGTTGTTTTTTTTTTTTCAGCAAGCTTGCAGGTTTTTTAATACAACCTGGAACACATGCAGAGAAATAAAATACTCTACAGCCTCACTTAGGAAACATTTAAGACTTGCGTTGATCACATACCATAGCTGCTTCGATTCTAACAGACACATATTCACTCTTGAAGCACTCCTGTAAGGCCGGCAGGAGACGAGCCGTCATTATGCCGAGGTTCGACAACTGCGAGAGAATAATACAACATGTAATGGAACACGCATTTAAGCCCTTTTCAATCCAGTGTAGTGAATCGAAAACCAAAGTACAGGGTGTACAAAACTGCCACTTATAGAGAGGTATTAGGAGAAGCTGGTGAAAACTAAAAGCAAATGTAACACGCAAGTGAGCGAGTCGCGATTGGTTTTCAAACAATTTTAAATTGAGTTTCGAATCTAATCCGGGATTACTTCAGTGTTATTTCGCTTCGCTTTGCGATTGGTCCAGAAAATTCGCGCTACCCTCTCAACCAATCAGATGCAAAACTAAAGCTATCACGACTTCAGGCGCTTCAGGCAGTTTGCTTGTTTTTACTCTAAGTTCTACCTGGTTCTCTGAGGTTCATTCCTTAGCTCCGATTAATCGTGTAGATTACTCTGGATTTGGTTTTATGTGACCCAATTGAAAACCACTTTTTTTGCAAGTGATTGTGCCTTAGAGAGAGCAAAGCAATACCAATGCAATTAAAGAACAGTGGAATGGATTAGATGACAGTGGATCCCCATGTATAATATAATTCGATCAAATTTCACTATGATTCACAGAAAAATACTGGCAAAATAAGAAAGCAATAACAGTAGGTTGGTTAAGTTCCAAGTGAGTGATAGAACACAAAGAACAATTGAAGTCAGGCTTAAAACTAGTTCTCGCGAATTCTTTTTTATTACGTACTGACGAAACCGCCAGCTACTTTGTCCACACATGCAACGAGTATTTCGTTGTTGGGCGATAACTAAGAGTTCCCCTTTTAAACAGCCGCCCAGTATTAGACTTTACTTTTCGCCTCTGATGGCCAGACAAACAACATCTCCACTGACTGGTTAGTGCTCAGCGCAACAGCTATAATGTACGTGAATGCAACTGCATGCAAGTTGTGTTTTCCAGTTTGGATGTTGCAGCTTATTTCTTTGTATACTTGATTCGTTTTGAATCCCTTCTCTGATTTGTAAAACTTAGCTTGGATCGATTGCCACTGGAATCCAGACACCCCCAGTAAAATGATGTGAGAGCAGGTTGTTACCTTTTTCAACGCGTCGACTTTAATCCTCTCGTTTCCGGTGAGTATTCTCTCGCGCAGTGCATCATGGACAAGCTGTTGTGCACAAAGGAAAACAGTTACAGTTTTTATCATTCCCAAGTGAAAACTATAATCCTCATCCGAATGCGCAAAGACTTACATGTAGAGAGGAAACCAATTTTCCAGCAGAGTTGGTTAGACGATAATTTTCGCGCCCCTTTTTGGCATCATAGTGCCAGTGCTTTTTTTTTCTTTTTTTGCAAAAAACAACACGCTTTGGCTGCATTGCAAAAAATCCAGAAACAGTTGATTCCATACAGACCTCCCCGATTTAAAATCTCAAATTGGTTCTAGTGTCTGTCTAACATCGCCACTGGTGAACTGAGTTCAGACACTGAAGGTCTCGAAACCAAGAAATGTTTTCCCTTTACCATAAAGCGTTGGTATTTTAGAGGGGCATCGGATTATTCTACAAAGCAGTAGATACAGCGCGGGACACAGCGCGGAGCAAGTGAAGGAAGGGGGGAGGGGAGGGGGGGCATAGACCCATGTTCGGTACGAAGAAATTGCCAGCGAAGCATAAAACAATTATCAGATATTTTCTCGACAGAATATCGTGTGATATTCTTGTGATCTGTTGACTACTCATTTCAATAGGGACGCGCCTGGCGAAATAATACGCTGTAAGACGTCTTTTAAATAAATGTCCACCTAAATGTTTTTCTTAACATAAATCCACTACGGACACATTAGAAACTGTTAAGATGCCAATGAACTACGCAAAGACTATTTTGGGAAACGAAAGTTAGGCTAAGCGCTTGGCTTGATTTATGCCCCCCGACCGTTGTTTCAAAAAGCTCCGCCGCGCGCCGCCTCCAAACTTAATGTAACGCTACATAAAGTGTACCTTGCCATTTCCAGTCCTCCCAAGAGCCAGTGCCGCTGCTGAGCGAACATCTTTGTTCCAGTCATTCCACATCAGATAAGACAGCTTCTGAGTCATATCCTACCGATAGATAAAGGCAATGATCTACGACTAATTTAAACAAAGTAAAGTTATCTGAATAACACCATCTAAAGGCAGCTTATGTTGCTGGGTGTCTTTCTGGTAACTTGTATATGACTTGGTTAATTTCCTAGGTGCACGAAATACCTATGTCTTACTGCTTTTCAGAGAGCAACGTTAAAACTTTACCTCGTTGAATAAGAAATTGTATGGACAAAAACCTGTGCTCAAATGGAAAACCATGTATGCACGTCAAGAAACTTTTTGGCCAAGCACTAGATAAAGAAATGTCAAAATTTACAGACTTCAAGTACAGTAATGGACTATAAAGCTTTCTTCATGAGTTCGCAAATTTCTGATAGCATCTATAGCACAGTGGACATACATTAATCAAAGCTCAAACAAAATTCTCGAACGTGACTGGTTATCACCAGCCCGATTTGAGCACCAATAGGACAGTGTAAGCGTCATGCTTGTAATTGGACAGTGTAACAGTGCAACTGGACGCGGTACGCATAATGTGCGCGCGCTGTTGTCGTGCATTTCGCCGAGTTAACTGTTGTTTTTTTATGAAAACGTATAACAGATGTCTGGTTTCTTTCCAAAATTTTGTCACACTTTTGATTAATTGCTAACAAGACTTCGTGTCTCCCAATTCTGTTTGAAATCAAACTCGTGACTAACAAATCGGACTTCCACTTCGCGTTCGTAAGATTATTTTTGTTAATCACTCGTACGATTACAGACGGTATTACCTGACACGAATATGTGCAACAACGGTGGATGTTCCCTAAAAAGTTAATCATCAAATGTACATATACTTGGGAAGTTGTACAGCATAACTCAGAGAACCATAACACTTTGATTTGATTCTGACAGATCATTTTAATTTGTTCTTACTACATAAGATACAGTTCATGAAACGCAAGAGAACCTGAAACAACAAACAAATTACCCTTGCTTTTTGCGTTCTGTTTTCTGACGCGTGCTTACCTGTAGCTTATCTCAGGAACAAAATAACAATCCGAAAACGTTTGTGGTGTTCATAGTTTTCTGAGTTATCCAGTAATATCAGAGTTTCTAAATCAATCTAAAAATCTTCATAAGCTTGTAGATCAACCAATTTAAGCATAGCAAACCTTATTAACTCCTCCATTTAGTTTGGGAATAACAGCACAAGCTGTTACACGGTCTTTCCAGCTATTGCTGTTTAGCAATTCAGCAATTAATGACTGAACAACATCCTTCAAAAAAAAAGGAAAAAAAAAGACTTAAGTATTTCAACAGTTATTCAAAGAACAAAGCAATGTACATGTATAAAATTAATACAAGTTGTAGTTTTTTTTTAAGGAATAAAATCATCAAGTAACAAATTACTTTTCCACATGTTCCGGTGTAAATGTATGAATAATCACAGGATCCAGTCATAGATGCCTACCATATGCGCTTTACTCGTACATTTTAAACCGCCTATCTTTACGCTGCAATGAACTCACGGTTCTATTTTCGATTGTAACAAATGTAGAATAAACGCAGGCAGTCCTCCTTCATGAAATTTTTACGACTTACAAAACACAAAACTTATCTAAGAGAATTAACTGTTTAACCTTTACGAGTGCCTGGCATCTAATTTGTATAGGTAATCGCATGGGGCCGAGTAAAATTTAGGATTAATATCACGCGTGTTTTCGGAAGTTGCTGAAATTGCCCGAGTCGCGAGGCGACGAGGGCAATTTCTGCAACTTCCGAAAACACAAGTGATATTAATCCTTAATTTTACGAGGAACCATGTGATTACTTGTTTATAATATAAGGGGCAAAATGTTTTCTTACTGATCTCGCGCAAAACGGGACGCCATTGTTACAAAACAAACAGAAATTTCTTTACCTTGGCAGCCGTTGCCAAGCGATTTTCAGCCAATCATTTTCAAGTAATTTTTCCCGGGGCAATTACAAAAATTAAGAAAAAATGCCCTCTGTCTTGACCAATCACAATTCAGTAATTTTGCCCCTTATATGATAAATCCCTACAATATCACACCTGGATCAAGCATCAGTGAAAGTCACAAAAATATTAACGGACATAATCACCAAGCTCTTGTTTCTTGAACAAATTTTCCTTGTCAGGAAATGTCAGGAACTGTTTAGAGAACAGTATGGAAACTCCATCCCAATCTTGGGGTGTGAAGTTCAAGAGTTTTGTGACCAAATTCTTCTCTTAAAACTCACCGAATGCTGACTCAGCTTTGCTAACAAAGTTCCTGCTTTTTCAGTCCTCACAGCATTATCAGCATGCAGATGATTGACGAGTTCAACAATAACTTTGTCCGTGACTACTCCGCTGAGAGCTAAGCACTGTGTTGCCGCCCACTTTTCAGGGGGGCCTCCATGTTCCATGGCCCACAATAGATTGGATTTAGCCTGATAAGTAATTGAAAATAAGGTTTATAGTAAATGAATAACAAAACGATCCTCACAGATAAAATAATTGACAACAACCACAGGGTTCAGATTGTTAAATCATCAGATATTACTAGTATTATTACTAATATAATTATTACTAATATTATTTAACATTGACTGCATGATACCAATGTGGTGCAGGTAATCTGCCGGGCAGCTGGTTTCAAGTATACTGGAAATTACAGTACCCTTTAAAGTGAAATAGAGGATACTACACTGTTACGCATGAATAAAAGTTTCATCCTATGGGTGTTGATTAATACTACATTTAGTTCCTACGGGAATATTATTACTGCTGATTGATGTAAAATATATGGTAATGTTATCCTGTAGTTATTCATTATTTAAGGATAAAGGGTATTTGATAATTTGGATATATCAACAAAGTTGAAATGGTAAATTGGCCACCGTAACGATTACAAAAGCTGACGTTTCGAGCGTTAGCCCTTCGTCGGAGCGAATAGAGGAATTGTGGGTTGTGTGTGTTTTTAAAGGCAGAAAATGGAGCTACGTTATTGGCGGGAATATGGCAACGAGAAAAACACGAATAAATTAATGGAATGAAAAGCGTTCGTTGATCCCAGTGGGATTTAGACTGCCGATTTGAAAGATGAGCTTTTGTTCAAGAGTTTTACGGCTTTCCGAGCTACCTCAGTGTAAGGAAAGACCGCAGATTGCCATATGTTACTTAGAATGATTAGGTAAATTAAAGTGTCTAGCGACTGGTTTCGATGTGTCCTTGTCATTCTTTTCCACGTCGCGAAGGTGTTCTCGGAATCGGTCACCTAGTCTTCTGCATGTTTCGCCGATGTATATCTTTTTGCAATAAGTGCAAGTTATGCAATAGATTACATTGGCGGAGGTGCACGTGAAGTGATCGGTGATCTTAATGGATCGTTTGGGTCCCGATATTTTATCAGTGTTGTGAATGAAAGGACACGTTTTGCACCGTGCACGAGCGCATTTAAAAGTGCCGGGTTGGTTATCAGTCTGAAAAGAACCTCTGACCAAAAAATTGCCTGTTTTTGTCGCGTTTGAATGAAATGCGCGGAGGCTGCGAAAAGATCGTGCTTGTTTCTGGATCGTTTTGAAGTAATTCAAATTTTTTAAGAATGATGGATTTGACTGAGTGGTTGTGAAGGTGGAACGTGAGTGTGAATGGAATGCGGTCGGAATCTTCCTTTTGTGACGTTTGTAGTGCTGAATGTCGATCAATACGTTGGGCGCGGTGGTAACCCGCTTGAATGACAGAATTAGGGTCGTTTATCGAAAAACTGGCACATTGACTCTGATTTGTGGCGGAAATCAGAGTTATCACTATATAAACGGCGAATTCTTAGAAACTGAGAAAAAGGAATGGAATTCTTAACGTGATATGGATGCGAAGACGAATATAACAAGTAATTTGCGAGTCTGTAGGCTTGTAATAAACACTAGTGCATAAACCGTTGCCTTCAATTGAAACTTTGAAGTCTAAAAAGGATAAAGACTTGTCAGAATTTTCCCAGGTATATTTCAGAGCCGGGTGAAAAGAATTGACTGCGGTTATGTCTGTAGGGTACTGAGCTCTTATTGAAAAATTATCAAATAAACCCAGCCTAAACATCATAAAATACTCTTAATCAAAATAAACATTCTTACTAGTTGAAACAAAAATCTATCAGAGACGTTTTTCATATCACAAAAATGTTAGAAATGAGCATTTTGAAAAGTAACTTTGATTAACTGATTTTTATAAAAAACGAAGGGCTAACGCTCGAAACGTCAGCTTTTGTAATCGTTACGGTGGCCAATTTACCATTTCAACTTTGTTGATAGATCCAAATTATTTCGTTACCCCACCGACGCAGCCCCAAACAGTTTCTTTAGAAACTATCAGCCTTTTATTCATTTGTAAAGGGTATTTACCTTATCACTGGGTCTGTTTAGTGAATACAGAGTAATAGAAGCAGCAACCTTGACTTGTGAGTTTCTGTCGTCTAACAGCTTTGTGATAGCTTCAATGAGTTCAGGTTCTAATGCTGCCTCCAAGGGTGGGCTTGGTGTCTTGGACTTGTCCAGAACAATCCCTACACAGTGAAGAAAAATTATATCAGTGCAATAAAAATTATTTTATTTCACTGGAAAGATTCTCCTTTCCAATTCGTAGTACTTGTTATGCGTGCGCTGTACAAATCTAAAAAACAAAATAATTTTAGATTCTTGTACTTGCATTTGGTTAAGACAACATATCAAAAATTTTTGTGTAGGTACAATCCTATAAAAGATAAACTTACCTAGATGGTGCTTTTCCTTTTTGATCTGTCGTAACTCAGCAGCCTTGCTACATGCTGACACTGCTGCTAGTCTGACATGGTCATTGATGTCATTCATAGCCTTGATCAGCTCATCTGTCCCACATTTCTGCCAACGACGCTCTAGAAACCACTTGGATCTCCACTCTTCCACTTATAAGGATAAAACAACAACATACATGTATGAGGATAATAATGTAAACTGTGTATTACTAATATGTAATACACTACATCAAAAGAATATATCATTAAGTATAATAGATGACAATCAATATTCAGAAGATTGCTTTTTTAGTTTCAGGTGGCTAATACAACAACAGTTTCTGGGAGTTATCAGATGTGTTTGATAAAATGATCACCAGTGCTCATTGCCAGCAAATTAACAGCAAGGTAAAAATCACCATACAACACAATGCTCTTGTAGGAATTAAGTGACCTGTCGTCCAAGTGGCTGTAGGGTACTGAGCTCTTATTGAAAAATTATCAAATAAACCCTGCCTAAACATCATAAAATACACTTAATCAAAATAAACATTCTTACAAGTTGAAACAAAAATCTATCAGAGACGTTTTTCATATAAAAAAAAAGGTTAGAAAAGAGCATTTTGAAAAATAACTTTGATTAACTGATTTTGATGAAAAACATTGTCTCAAGATTGAGGTTCACATACAGTTACACGTAATATCATAAAAAAATCCACTTACATGTAAACCATACAGCGAAATTTAGAGAAAAAATTTTATAAAAACCTTTCCTATAAGGATCTAGTAACATGTACTTTTTGAGCATGCACACTTCTGCAATCACTTAATCTGCAATCTGCAATCACCTTGAGTGTCTGTGCATCATCAACTTTGCAATTTCTGGGGGCCTTAGAATAAAACTGCCTGGAAACTACACTGTAGGCAACACACTGTAACTGCCTTAATTTGCAACTTAATCTGTAGAATCCAAACTAATACATGAAGTTATGTGCTTCTACAAATTTATAATTATAGTTTTAATTTATTTCTTACCTATCTTGACCACATTTGAGTCATCACGAATCTTTTTCTTTTCCCTGTATGCATTACTCAGGGCCTTTACATCAATATTGGAGTCTTTCATGACAGGCACATAATTATCATCCTGAAGAATATACAAATTTAAAGCTGAACCCTTGAACTCTCAGAAGTGATTAACATGTAACTTCTGTTATAATATTATTATCCAGCAAACAGGTAATGAGAATACTCTAACTCATCAGGTACATGTTGAAGTTGTTATCTTCATTTTAAACAAATTCTTGCAACTAATTTATAAAGAAATGCATCTATTTTTTAGCAGCTAGAGGGGAGAATTGCATGTAATAATCAGATCATGGGAGTTTAATGGTTAAACCAAAACACTTAATTGAGTGTTTATTGGGCAATATATCCCAACAAAAATTTTAGAAAAATTCTATTGCATCAAAAGTATTTTAATTTATAAATAACTGCATAAGAATGAAAGGATTACAATTTTACATGAATGACCAAGACAGAATTTCTCTGAATGATATCAAATGAATACAAAATTAAGCCAACAAGTGTTGAGAATAAAGAAAAAGATCAATTAGGGGACAAAATAAAATATTGAGTCATAATAGCAAAGCAGTGAATAAATAATTTACATGTGACCTGTTTTCTTTGTTTCAAACTCTTCAAACCAGTTTGATTTTATTTTGGTTTAATTGTGTCAGATATTAAGATGAATACAGGACAATGGATTATAAAACCAAACTGCTTAAAAAAATTTAAACCCAGAAGACACTTTAAAACCACAACAGTCATATAAACTTAATTTACCTGTACAACAACTGGTAGTTCCTCCCATCGCTGTAACCCTTTCACCAACTTTTTGGGTTTCTGTTGTGAGCTCCCTTTTTTCTTTCTAGATGTTCTCTCGCTGGAATACCAAACCTTGGATTCTTTGGGATAATTTTCTTGCAATTGCTTCTTGAATTTGAGTTTGTCATTAGTATCTAGTACAATGTAACTGGATTCAGAGGTTCTTTTGGAAGGAAGAGGTTGTGCACCACCAAGCAATTCCTGCTGAAATATGTTATCACTTTCTAGTTTTTTGCTCCCTACAGAAGAGGGAAGAGTAAATGAAGGAGTGTAATGAATTTCTAGGGCTTGCTGTGACTTTTTTTCTGAGATCTGCCTTCTCTCACTTGCATCTGGTGTCAAGGAATTGTCGGATGCTACATGTAGCTTGTCTTCTGTATCCTTGATCCTCTTTTCGAAAAACCTTTTGAGTCTATCCTTGTCATTCCCAGATGACTGTTCATTTATAATCCACTGAGCTGTTGATTTGCTCAAGCATGCTAGGACAAATTCATCCCATTCCTGCTTTGATGCTTTTTTTGATACAGAATTATCTGTAGATAATGATCCTTTCACATAAGATGTTGCTGAAATAAGCTTCCCTGCATCAGTTGCACAGGACGCTGGTGTTCTTTTTGACCTCCTTAAGGGTTTAAGTTTCCTGGGTCCCTTTAAATGGCACAAGGCATGCTTTCGTACTGTACCACGTGGGTCATGCCGTCCAACAACTCCAACAATGTTTCCTTTCGCATGGTTTAAGCCTCCAGTTCTGAATATAACATTTAACTCATCCTCATTATAGGGCAATGTATGAGGTGCCCGATCATGCAACACGTCTTCGTTGAAGGCTAGCCCTGAGCTAATTTTCTTCAAATAGGATTTGCTGATGTCCTTGCTACTTTTGTCAGGAACAGGGTGAAACTGAGAAAACACATCTGCAAGTTTGGCTAGGCCAGGCTCTCCTTTAATTGATACCTTGGGCTGCTGAGGGATTGGGAACTGTGGTACTACAGGATCCAAAGAGCTATGAGCTAGTCTTGAGGAGGGATATTCTTCAGAAAATGGAGGGGTGCTAATTCTGCTACCATTGAGTCCAGTTTCATCGCTTCCTACATAAGGAATCTGAACCCCTGCTGCCACTGCAAAGAATTCTGCCCCATGTGCTTTGGTTGAGGACACACTGCCTGCAATTGAAAAAAAAAACAACTGTTCTTTTAATACACTGTACTCACAGCTAAAATGAGCAACAAATTAGTTGACACACCTGTATGGTTGTACATGTACTGCAATTTATTACAGTACCTAATAGTATTTAATTATACTTTATCTGTTCAAAAGCATGATGCATACAGTGTTCTGTTAGTGCTTTGATAAAATTATCCAAAGGGATTGGTTATCACTAACCCTAGTTGAGCACAAATAGGACAGTATATATGTCAGGCTAATGTGTAATTGGACAGTAAGCGTCACATGTGTGCATTGCCGTCATGCACTTCACCAAGTTAACTGTTGTTGTTTATAAAAAGTAGCAGCGATGGCTAGTTTGTTTCAAAAATTTTGTCATAGTTTGATTAATTGGGTACAGCTGAACATTGTGTTGTCTTCTCTGTCTGCAATCAAAATGGTAATTAACAAGTCACTGGTACATGTCGATTACATATCAAATTGGACCCCACTCAATCCTATTACCGTTACCTGTGGAGCTATAACTGTTAACCAATTGTGCCTGATAATTTTGTTACAGGTTTGATCATTTTCATGTATCATTATTAACCAAGAAACTAATCTCATTCCTCATTCAGTAGGTTGATCTTCCCTCTCCCCTGGACCAAGGTACTTTGATTTCATTAATAACAGAACATTATGGAAGAAGAGAGATATTCTGTCACAGTGTAGTAAACTGTAAATATGACTTTGAATTTAGCCATAAATAATCTGCACCGCACGCAAATACTGATTTCTCTCACAGATTGTAGACAGGATGTGAAGTTTCTAGCAGTCAGCCCGTTGACATCAATTGCTTTAAACCACCAACAATTAACAAAACTGGAACCACAATGATCACAATAATTAACCACAATTAACCGCAAAATACCGGAATTTGGAATGCGTACAAAGGATTTACCGCTTATTAACTTGAATCGTGCAATAATTTATGTAAACAGAGTCGCTAGGTATCCTGTGGTAATTTCGTAAATGCTTTTTGAGATTCATTTTTTTTTTCGGAGTTTAGAATTATTTGCAGTAAGTTTAGTTCCGTTTAATAAAGTTTGATCTTATAAAAACTGGCATAGTAGCTTGTGGAAACAGAAGCATGTACGCCTTCTCGGTTAACTCTAGGGTCAAAGCAAAAAAAATCGAGGGCTTAAAATTCTGAAACTAAGGAATGACTTCTATCATACTTGCAAAAATGATGCATTGTCTAAGTTACTAAAATTCTTATAGTCCGCATAAATTTGGAGAATAATCGCGCAACACTTTACGAGACAGAGTTAACTACAGTTATTTTATTTACGCTATTTCAAAGATCGAAAACCACAATCTTCAACGACGAAAACAGTAAGCGCTATGTGATATATGAAAGCTCATAAGTCATGCAAGTTCAAACGATAAAAGATAGAATAATACTTATACCATTACAAACAAATCGTATCATTAAACTTAACACAAATACCTGTGTTATAAGGAGTCGAAAAGCCACCGGGTGTTGTAATATTCGCCATTTTGTCCATTCTGCGCCATTCCTTGTTGCTAGGCAACAAATGCATCAAATCTTCTTGTACAGCAGATTTACACGCACTAACAATAACTACTTTATGTACGCACACTAGGAATTTTTGTAAGGAACAAGATCTTCTCAAAGCGAATGACAACTATGAAAATATTTTTAAAATCTTCTGTTTTTTTTCTTCAAAATCAGTTTTCTCAATTACCTAAAACATCTCAGTGATGTTCTGGAGAAGCTGTTTAACCTGGAGATGCACGAACAACACGCAAACAGCAAAGTTTACGTGTTGTTCGTTGACAAATAAGTTTATTTGGGGAAGGCCTGGCAATAACCAACCCAAAACTACACACGACATTACAAATTCTGCGAGTGCTTATGTGAACAACGTAAAGTAAATGAATTAGAGCATACATCGACCGTTGGCCCTTGAGGGGAAATAACGCACTAACATGGCCACTTTTTTTTTTTTCTTTCCGTCCGACTGCCAATTAAGCTGGGAATTCCATTACTATAGAGTATAAAATCTAAGAATAAATGCACATACGCAATCGATCGAAGCAAGCCAGTTAGACCCCCACATGTAACGGTATACAAACGACACCTACTAGTTAGGATAAAAAAATGAGCAAGTGCTCATAAGGGGGACTATTTATTTTTATTAACATTGTAGATAGGTGTCCTTACTTAGTGGGCAACTGCTATCATCTTGATGCGTTAATAGAGTTATTATTACTATTATTATCATTATTATTACTATTAACAATTTGTAAGCAGTCTATAGTAAAGAGCTATGATACCGATCTACGAGTCACTGAGGTCGAAACACAGAAAGCAACTTATATTCAACATCTTAAGTCAAAGACACGTGAAAACAAAACACCTTGGAATCATCTAGCAGACGGAGCTGAGCAACCGCTTACAATGGAAGAGCGATTAGAACGGAGGCCACAACATCTGCGGGAAATCTGGGCAGGAACCAAGGCTCCAGCTCCGGAAACTATTAGCCCATCCTACGAAGGCTTTACAAAGACAAAAACTAGCCTAGCCGATAATAAGGCAAGACCTAACTAAAAAATAAAACTGAAGTGAATGGAGCTCCGCATTGGGTTGATTTAAAGGCCTAAAAGACTATCACATGCGATACTCTTTTCTATATACCTCTGGTTTCCTGCCCATGATAAATCGGCCTGGTACCCAGGCCGTGCATTGTCTCATGCCGACATAATATTTATTTCAGCCTTCTCCATCGCCAGGTTATTCGTCAGAAATAGCATTTAATGATGGGCAACTGGCTTCAAATTGATGGGGGAATAGATGGTAACGTTAAAAAGATCTATGTACCGTAAATTCATTACTATGGTCACCAACAGCAACCAAGAGCCCAGAGTAAACGCTCTATGAACACTTTAATAGATAGATAGTAGCTTTATTAAAAATCACATGGCAGCCTAATAAGGCTGAATTGCATGATTATTTACAATACAATACTGGCTGAAATTATAAATTATCTTTACAGAGTATATTATTTTAATATTTACAACAAAAATACTAGAATAATACATAGGCCTATTGTCTACACATGGCTGGTAAATGTGTCTGGGTGAAACGCTTGGTGCGCATTATTGGGTTAACAAACTGACGTTGATTTCTAAGATTATAAACAGTATGGTTCTTCGATGGCAAAAAATGATCAAGCTTGTGCTCGGTATTGGACCCTATTGGTTCAGTGAGTTCAGGTTAAACAATGAAAGGTTGTCGAGATATGATGATAGGCCAGGTGAAATTACAGAAAGGGCGCGTTTTTGAACACGCTCTGTGTCGTTGCTTAAATAATCCGGGAGTGCATGATGGTAAAGAGGAGCCGAATATTCGAGTACATGTCTAATGCAGGTAAGATAGAAGCCGATGATATCACGAGCCGGAATTTTGGCGCGCCTAAGCAACATGAGAAAGAATATCCGCTTATCAGCCTTTTTTGGTAGGTTAGAAATATGACAATTCCATTGTAGGGTGTTGGCTATTGTTACGCCTGACACTTTAACACTGTTTACACGTTTGCACTTTTTGCCACTATGCCAGTGCCATGTCAACAAAAGCTTACAGAAATTACGGCAAGGGCGTAGCCAGGGGGGTCCTGGGGTGCCCGTGACCCCCCTCCCCCCTTGGTAGGCCTTCTTTTGAGCAAACAACCTACAATATTCAGGTGGTGAAAACGCCATGACAATATCTTGGCCTGCCCATTATACTCTCATTGCTCATCCCAAAGCTGTAACATTCAGTTAAACATGCACGGCGTGGAGGTAGAGATAACAATCTGGTGAGTAGCCTCTGTGACCCCCCCTTTGAAAAATCTTGGCTACACCCCTGTACGGGACGAAACTACGGTGTTGATACCTAGAACGACCCTCATCAATCTGACTCTGCGGAGCAGGTGGTACGTTCACTGATCTCCTTCGACGCATGACGCACCAAATGACCCTACCAAAGGTAGCATACAACCATGGTAGGAATTAGGATCGATATCGACAGAGTTCTTTGTGTCGCTGAGGCACCGCTCCTTGTTGGGGGCACAGTGTATGTAACAGGGGGGTGGCTGGTCTTGTTTCTCCGTGAAGTTGAGAGCATTGTTGCTGGTGGTTCACTTGTAGACCCTGAAACTGTAAAACAATAGAATAAACTTAATGAGCGGTTCATATAATATCATTGAAGAAGTTTTTTCTTTTCTATTCTTTATCTGGTAGCCTTTGATTTCGACGGTGCAGCGTACTTGAGTTGGCTGGTTTTGTTGCTCAGGTAGAAGGGGCTATATGCCAATCTTGTACTATACATACGATGAGGTATTTCCCAGAATAAAAGCAAACCCTTGGGCCAGCCGGCTGCTCAACAGGGAGTAGAGTTTTGAGGTGGAAAGGAGTTTAGCTCAAATTCTTACTATGACAATAAAACTTAAGCATGGATCGCATTGAGTTATAACTTTAGTGATATGAAAAGAAGGACATTCTATCAAGTTTCGTATAAAAAAAGTTCGCAAATGTATCACAACTTCTAATCAGAACATGGGAACATAGTAATAAAGGGAGTGCACCAGAACTCAAAGCAGTCACAACTACATATACATATGCAACCTGCAACGTAGGAAAACGGGTCGATCGTACTTGGTTCCAGTTTTGCACTTGATTGGTTGAAAAGGTGTCACAAGACCACGTGACCAATCACAGAGCTTAGCGAAGCATCAGTCGATTGAAAAATGCTCGATGCTGGCATTGACAATGGAATTTAAAATAAACTAGACGAATTTCAACGGAAGACAGATTGCACTGAAGATTGATGTTTATCTATACCAAATGTCGGAAATACCTTTACCTGAACTACTGATCACGAAGATCTTAATCGAGTACACTCGCGTCGTTCCGATGCTTCCTCTGACAAACCCCTTCCTCAAGTCAACCTTGATTTTAAACTCCAATCCATCGTCACTCTCCATGACTTCAGAGAAAATTAACGACCCTTTCTTTACTTCCAATCGGTTCCAGAAACTGTTACCATTTTCCTTGATACAACTACCAGTGTCGCAATAAGCAAGCTTGCTGCCGTCAGAATTTTCAATGAAAAGGTATTGGACTTTTTCCCATGGCAACATTTCTTGAAAGACTTTCGTAAGGTTCACATCAGTCCCTTTCTCAGCCGTGATACCTTAAAAGTGAACGAAAATATATTTTTAATGGATTTATGAAAATGTCTGTATGGGTGCCTGATCAGAAGGCTTCTAACTGTTCCGCTACTTTGGCTGCCATTCACCTCAATTTATAAGTATAACAAGTCCATTCTCCTAAACCCTTTAATTCTTACAAGTGATTAACAAGTAACTTCACCCTATAATATCCATCTATCATCCAGGAGATAGGTAATTAGAATACTCAAACTAATCAGGTAGACTTTGTTTATCTTGATCTAACACTAAATTCTCGAAACTAATTTACAAGGAAATGTAAGGCAGCTAGTGGGGGAATTTAAAATAATCAGATCTTGGGAATTAAAGGGTCACATGCTTTTTTCTTTTTTCATCAGTCCTGTAAGTGTTTAGCTTTTGAATCCAAATATGAGGGTGTTAATTTTATTTGACAGTTACCCAGTTAACATATACAACAGGCACTTGTTGCCATCGTCATCCTTCTTAAAGATTGTTATTTGTTAAATAAATCAACAATCAAGACTTGGCTGTATGATAAGCTGGACTTAACACACACTTTGATGCAACCTCGTTCCCAGAGCCTTCTCCCTTAGTTGGGGGTGGGAGCAGGAAAAGGCCTTGGGAACGACGTTGATTTTGATGGCTAACACTGAGGATGTAGTAGACCAAAGAAACTCAGTTGGCACCACCTTTGGCAAGAATTTGCCTCTTTAGTGTATAAACCAAAAAGCGGGGAATACATGTTGCCATTCATCTGATCTGTAAATAGATCACAGATGTCAACCTGTGGCAGGAACATCAGAACGTGTTCTATGATCTATTACTTAACGGACCCAAAGCAAGATGTAATCTATTTATATCGTAGAAAAATTAAGATGGTAAGTTTTGAGCTCGGTAAAGAAATAGAGAAAGATGTTTTTCGTCTTGTCACGAACTTGGGACAAAGAAATTATTCTGAGTCCCCACGGTCAGTGATAGAGCTTTGGAGTGTGGAATCCAAGATATCAGAATTTTTTCTTCATCACTCACCTCGTGACGAGACGAAAAAAATCTTTCTCTAAAGCAAAAAATGTTGTCAGAATGTCGCAAGACAAAAAAATCTCATTGTTATTCTTGCCTGATGTTGACATCTGTGAGCTATTTACTGAACAGACCCAAGGCAAGATGGAATATATTTATATTATATGATAACAAAGCACAAATGTTGTTAATTGTGACGTCACCTATGCTTTTGTCCTTCTATAGAACTTAAGTAAGAACCAATCAAAATGCATGCCTAATCCAGCTTATTATATAGTACTGGACAGACATAGAGCAACATGGGATCGATTTGGAAACAGGGTAGACCTTGACTAGGATATGATTGATTTCAAGAAAGGAAGTTTGTAGCATTGACAGTTTGTAACATATAAAATTTCTCGCGAAGAGCAGCACAGCTAAACTTACACTCAGTAAAGTTGATCTCCACTTCGTCATAAGCCACAGAATCTTCATGGTGGACTTGACACAGTAGTCGGCTCTGTCTGTAGATGTTGTGCTTTACCGATGCTTTCACCGTCAATGCTGTCATTGAGATGTTTTCCACAGTGATGCCATTTGACAATGAGTTTTTCTTGATGAAACACCCTTGCAGTTTTTCACAGTATGAGAAGTAAATCCATTGTTTTTCTTCGGTATTATACACCTTCCATTCGACCGCATGTACTCCATTTGGCTTTGGCAAAGTCCCACAGAACACAGTTTCTGGCTTATTGAAGCACGCGTCGACTGTCATGGTTTCTACAGGCAAAGCAAGCCACACCATTAGCAAAAGAAAAGTAGTGGTATCTAATAGTGACTAAAATAATCACCAAAGAGTTCTATGAGGCTCAATTAACATTTCGAGTGTCTGAATGCGAAATGAGAGTGCTATGGGTTTCCAATTCTCGCCTGGAACTCAGAATTTAATGACAAATGGTTACAATGGTGCTTTAAATTTACATTATACGCCTAACCTTGTCATTAGAGCACTTTCCATTTCAGCCCAGGTTCGTTACTGTACATGGATTTCGATATTTTTCTCAACACAAAAAAATTGTTTATTTTTCCAAAATTAAATAACGTTGTAGAACACAAAAAAGGTAATAGTTTAAGCAATTGATGTTTAATATGGATTTCGACTCTTTTCTCAGCATATAAGATGGTATATCTTTTACCTCAGTTAAGTATTTTAAAAGACAGAGGTGAGGTGTTTAACTGATTCGTTATTGTAAAAATTCTACAATTCAAATATATAATTTTTACCTCCGGGGTATGCCTTCGTTAGGATGTTGAACACTGTAAAAAAAAAAAACAACAACAACAACAAAAAAACAGGCTATGATCACTTAATTTGTGAGTGTTTATTTCCTTTCATTCTATAAATCTATCTGTCTATTTTTCTTATTCACAAATGTGTTTCGCATCGTTGCGGCAGTTCACGCAAATTTTTTGGGGGGATTTTCAAAATTTTGTGGATATTTCATTGTTCGCAATTTTGGAAAATGAAAGGTATTTCTTCCAAACTCACAATATCCCTTTTCTTGAGGAAAGGAAGGTAGAGATATCAACACGTAATCAAAAAATGCTATAATGTTGATCTTTCTCTTTTCAACTTCGAGAATATATCGAAATCTGTATTAGTAAACATGACCTTTGCTCAGTGGCGATCTTGGTTTTGCGGCTCTGACGCTAAAAAAAACCCATTGTCGGAAAAGTGACGTCAGCCTTGTAACCTCGCAACGCAAAACCAAGGGTGGTCTTTAGGATATTGTGGGTTTGTAAAGAAATAGGCTAAGATCGACGCGATACGAAGCGTGTGACGACTAGAATAAAGATAGGAAAAGAAAACTACGCGAGTGACTAGTGTTGCTATACTGGGATTTCCAACACCATGGAAAACGTGGTCATTGGAGGTGAGACAACAAATTACTTCCCGTTTAAGTCGAAAATGCAGATGGCTTCTCGAAACTTTCCGAACTAAACCAAAGTTTACAAGGCAAAACGAGAACGATAAAACAATGTAGGCGGAGTACTACTTCAGTATAAAAGTAATAAGTTGAATATAGTAACCAATTCTCGTGCAGGATGAGGAGATGATCACATGAAGGGGTAATTAAATTGTTGATAAACTGTCGTATAAATGTCCTTGCAATGAATTATAAGATGATACTTACGTATTAATATAGATAGGATTAATGTCCTCCAAACGCAACTTTCATCAGGATCACTCATGTCTGAGAATTTCTAATAGCTTTGTGTACGGGCCAGCACTTCATCTTTGATTGAAGATTCTGAATTGGTTCTTGCTTCGTCGAAGAGCGTTAATTATATATCTTCTTATCGAAAATGAAAGCAAAAGTGGGAAGTCAGCGAACAAAAATAGAACTGTATATTCGCAAGAATCTGAGCAATGAACCGAAACATAACAAGAGATTATAATCTTTAAGAAATCATTACAATTGCAAATAGTTTGGAGTTGACGATGACAGGTGACGAGATTTGCAGTAGTCGTGGGTACGAACTCGAATACGTAAAAACGAACGATGAACCACGAAAGTGGCAAAAACATGTTTCTTAAGCTGAAATTTTGTTATCGACAGATAACACGGCAGAAAAAGCATGCGTATGAAGTTATCTATCTTTTAGTGCCACCTACTGTGATCAGTTTATTGTGGTTAGCTTATTAATTGAAAATTTGAAATAATGAAAACCGATAAAAATAGCCGTGACAATACACCCTATGCATAACGAGAAGAGACTGGGAGCGATAAACGTGAAAACGAGGTTAGTTGGGCCTTGTTAGCTCGTGTTAAAAATATGGCCGCTCATGACTCTGTAAGTAGCCGTCTTTCTCAGATTCTTACGGAGGAAGATATCTCAGGAGCATCGCTTCAAGGAAGAAATCCGACTGCTCTAAAATCAGATGAACTTCGTTTTTGGTTAAAATGTCGTGGCGATCCAGCAAAGGGGTTAAAAACAAAGGCACAATTGGCGAAAAGGCAAGTACAGTATTTGTC